ACTCACAGCTGCAGTACCAATGATAGATACAGTTCCAGGTCTCTTGTTGCGTCCAATGGTTGCAACATCCATTGCCGAACCTGAAACAACCTTCTCCAGCTACCGGAAATCCTCCCCTTCTTCACAACTTTACTCTATTGTGGAGAACACGTGAAGAGCTCTGACTCAGCTGGATCCATGTCCATGATCCATGTCCATGTTAAGTGGCTGTCATCAGAGCCAGATCTTGATCACACACTAAAATCTTTGGATAACACACTGACTCACCCAGATCCTCGAACCAGCCAAGCCTCCAGCTCCCTGCCTTCCGGTCAGGCCACCTTTGCCTTGACTCTCCTGCAGCTCCTCAGAATGATTCCCCCAGGATAAAGCGAGAAGCGGTCCCCCGGTCCCTCAGCGCTCCGAGTAGCAGCCCCAGCCAGCAAGTCAGACTGACACTTAAGAGCAGTCATGCGGTTTTTGACTTCCACAGCGCCAGCCCAAACTTGCTTACAAATGCCCGCCTGAAGTTTGACTACATATTTCAAAGCACCCACCTCATTACACTGCTGGTCCATTCACCATAGTAAACAACAGACATAATCCCCATGATCATCCATTTTTTAATTGGACAAGTTGCTAAAATGTCCTCCAGCATGACTGAGATAAACAGCAATGAGTTTGAGATTTCCAATAAACAGACTGTGTATCTCATGATGAGTGAATAAATATCCGAGTCTCTCCCACCAGAAGCAACGAAAATAAGCGGTCGGTTGGCAAGACTGCCTGAGAAAGGCAAAGCTGTTTATCAATCAGCTGGTCATTACACAGTCTGTCAGTATGTCAAACAATGTGAGAGTGGAGGACAAAGTAGTTCCAAAAACACTTCTACAGTAAACACAGACTGATGTCACCCAGTGTTTCTGGTGTGGGGTTGAAACTTTAAATTGCCTCTTTATATTCACGTTGATGCCATCATAGACGGTATAAAAAATGGACATTGCTTCCAAATTATAAGCGTGGAAGTGCCTGAAATCCGCTTTCTCTCCACCGGATAGCGATATCTGTCTTTGCAAAAATGTCTGTTGGGACATGGCTTTGTGTCTTGGAATTGGAATTCAAATGCTGATATAACAGCAGCCTTTAACCCACTTCTAACCTGTGCTCAATCCTAGGGCATCAAATACTAGCGTTCTGTCAAAGTCGTTGGGGTCTTGCACATATGCACAAGGTGTTCTTTGATGTCAGTGCCATTATGTAATAACTGCTGCAGACACCAACAAAAGTGCTCCTGATTGAAAGAACAGGAAGGTGCATTTAAAGCCTTAGTTATACTTGGTTGCGGACAGCTGGAGACCCAACAGGCGAGTAGTCGTTCCTATTATACTGCTTTGAAGTCCGCTGCCTGGCCGCATGCATAGTCGGTGCATTGTAATGTAAATGTTTCACAGA